AGTCTTTTCTTATTCCATTCAAAACCACTTTGCATAGTCCAAACAGTTACTGATCCTCAGAGCACCCCGGTGAAAAAGGTAGTATTATGCTTTGGTTTCTAAATAGCCATATGAAAGTTTGTTAATTTGCCTACCAAAGGGAACAGAAGTAGCAATTACAATAAGAGTCCAAAGTCCCAGGTGCTTTGATCAGACTTGAGACACCAACCACTATTTGCCAAATAAATTGACGTATTGAGTCTTACACTATCTAACCAATATGAGTTCTGGCTTTTCTAACGCTAAGTAATTTTAGTTTCCTCGTTTCCCTTTGCTTTCCCTGCCTGGATCTCATGCTATAATTAGCCTCAGGGCTTGGGGAACTGGCTGGAAAGTTCAGTACCAACTCAGAATGTTTTCCATTATTTGACCAAACCTCGAATGCTGAACATTTCTAACATTCAAAGAGGGTTTGTTTAAGTTTTCCAGTTTTACCCTCCTGGTTTCAAATGCCACCAGAAGCAGAAAGGCCAAAACTCTGTAAGGAGAAACTATTCCAAACAAGCTTTCTGGCCCAAGGCAGGCCTGAAAGGATCCAGATGCATCAGAGAGGAGTGGCCACACTCCCGGGCGCCTGTCTAAATGGAATCTCTGGCCCCTGGAAGGTGTGGCTGTTACAAGGGGTGCAATCTAAGGGCGGGCCCCTTATTTTGGAGCAAAGCGAAGGGCATGGCATCCCAAGGCAGTGGTTAGAGAGTGGGGGCAGGTCCCCCTCTGGGGGGAGGACAGCCCGTGGCTGGACTGTGAGGCCACCTGCGGTGCTGCCTGCCATGTGGACACGTGGTGTGTGTCTGGAAGAACTCACAGGATTAATGTGTTTCCAAACAGCAAACTAGGTGAAAACTGAGAGTCCGATGCCCCTGGAGGAAAAAAGAGCCTTCTGTTTGCGCACACGTGGCCACCAGCGAGACAGATGGAGGGCATGGGGAGCCTCCTGCCTTGTGTGTCAGACCTCAAGCTGCAAACTTGGCCCGAACACGGCACTTGAGATGAGAGGTCCGAGTGACAATCCAAGAAAACGCCACCTTGGAGGACATGAGCCATGCCTCTTGTGGGTTTCTGCTGTCTAGAAACATCCAGGACTTAACGAAAGGATGCCAAGGCAACAAAATAGACAAGTTTCAGAAAACTCAAGGGGAAAAGACATCTCGAAGAATGTAAACAACTACCATATTATTCTTTCTTCACTGCATTCCAACATATGCAAGGCTTCCCACAGAGCAATTATCCTCAAACTGTAATGTGTGTAGGAATCACCTGGGGATCTTATAAAAGGATGGATTCTAATCCAGTAGTAGGCCTGGAGTGGATCCCAAGATGCTGGATCCTAACAAGTTCCTTGGTGATGTCAATGCTGCCCAGTCCACAATCCACGTGCAGAGGGCGAAGCAGTTCAAACTCTTCCATTTGAAACAATTATCATTAGCAGCTCTTTATATCATTAGTTAGCAGTCAGGTGATTGCTTTTTTTTCCTTTCTCTTTCCCTTTTGAAATCCCGTTTCCCCCACAGAACGATGCATCTTCATCTATGGAAAGTTAAGAAATAAATACTGAAACTCTTGTTTGCCTATGAAAAAAAGTCTGTAGACACTTCAGTTTAAATCGTTTTATCTAAAGAAGCAGGAAACTTGTGCAAAAAAAAGGGGATATTCTGCTGACTGGGAACAGTCCTCGGAGTATTCAGGAGAGACCTTTAACAGCTGGGCCTCCAGGGCTCTCCAGTCATTTGGAACCATTGGTTTGCCGAGAGCAGGTTATATTCATTCCAGGAAGCTTTGATGTCTGTGTCCCAGCTTGAAAATCATCCCTGAGCTCATTATCAGCATAGCATGGAAGTTTCCGAATAGCACCTCTGTTAGAAAATAAAGGTTTAGAAAACAATGCAAATCTGTGCTACACAGAGATAATTGGGCAGCATTGTCCTCCTGTGAATTTAGACTACATCTAATTTAAGTGGTCCATCTTTGCTTCCATTTTCTGGCCGGAGAATCTACTGTATAATGGACACGTGGGGTTCAGAGACACACATGATTACATGCAGTGATCATGTAATGAAAGCACCTACCAGAGAGTGTTTTCACTGGATTGCACTGCACACAGAAGTTTATACCTTAATTATAGTTATGCAATTATATGTCTTTCCACCTTTGCTGGTATTTTTAAAGGGCCATTAAAAAAAGACACCTGAGCATATTCTCCCTCCACCCCACCCCCAATAATGGCATTTGGAAGCTGCAGCAGGTCTGAATAAAGATGAAAACTGTCATTCAACTACTTGGCAAAGGTACAGTCTGCTGGGGTACAATTCCCAAACCAGCAGCCCCGGGTCTGAGTCACTTGCAGGAACTAGGACAGATGGTGTGGGTCAGTGCACAAACTTAAAGACTCCTAACCAGTTCTAGTTCAGATGGGATTAACTATCTCTCTAGGCGGCTCATTGGTGACAGGCGTGCCTTTTTGTCCTGGGCTCCTGGGGAAGTGGTAAAGCCAAGTTCACCAGCAGCTGGCTGAGACTCTGCTTATTGTCACGACCTGGAGGGTGCCCAGAAAAGCCCCAACTGTTGCCTCACCAGGCTGTGAAGTCACGCTGCGGCTGCCGTGGCAGTTGCCCCCACCGGGGAAGGCAGCTCAGAGCCGGCTCACAGGCCTTTGTACTCTGCCCCCTGGCGCCTCGTTGAAACCCCAGCTCTGAAAATGACAGCACATGGTGAGGTCTTGGCAAGCCCCAACCTTAGAGCAGCAGTCTTTAAATCCTCGTCTGTCCTATGAAGACACCACTGGGAGAAATGCACAGATAGCTATAGCTAGGATCCCAAAGAGAAGCCGAGAATCCAGGCAGTTAGCTGACACATCCAAACCCTCCCCCCAAGCCTCTGGACACCTAAAGGTAAAAGCATTCGGGGAGTTTCTAAAATGAAATATCCAGAGGATTAATCCACTTCGCCACTTGAATTGCTAAGTCATTATTAAGTCTGAGTCGACGGTGCAGTGGCAGCTGCATGTAACAGCCCTCAGCTCTTAGAACGTTTCCAAGGACTAGTAAGTGTAGAAGAGAAAAAAAAGAACCTGATTTGGGGTTTAACTCAGGCTTGACTTTATTAGGGAGTGTAATAGCACGGGAACATAATGTTATTACATTAACAAGGGATTTGCATTGAGAAGCAATAGGAAGCAGGCATTGCACTTAGATATTAATAAGCTTCATAAAAGAAATGCAGCCATTATTCTTTTAAACTTTAGCTAAGCGTCAACATGTATATGCAAGCTAACTTCTCACAGGTCTAAGAGAAAGCAGTCTCTTGAGTTTCAATTCCTGCTTCAGTCAAAACAAGAGTCAGTAAAAATCATGTCTATTCGTTTTGAAAGACCCGTGCCACTGGAGGTAATATTGTCGTGGATCTTTGTGTGTGCAAAATTAAGCAGGGAAAAAATAAAACCGAGGGAATGTTCTAAGAGTTCAGACTTTCCAAAGTGCTCATCTTTGCAGCTTAGAATCCAGGGTTGACGTTTAGAGCTCATCATCACACAGGTTCTCTTGAGTGTGTGCATGGAAACTTCACGTGTACACAGTGCCGTGAAGGACGTAAGCAGAATGGAGCAAAGCAAATAAGTTAATTAATAAGGAAGGGAAAGTCTGAATTTCGGAACTACAAAAAGAATGACATTTTGTCAGCAGGCAAAACCAACGGGCAGAAAAAAGAATGGTTTGCCCACATGCAAAATTATCCTGTGTTTAGCCCCTCCAAACAGGATTGTCTTTCTAAGATAGAGGATGCGCTGTGTTATGTTCCTTAGTCAGCCTGGGAGAAGGGTTTTGCCCTCAGAGAAGTATCTCCTCTGGTCTCCCTATCTTTTGGGAATTCTTCTTAAGGTGCTCAAAGTGTAGTTTTACCTACAGGTTTCGATTAGCCTATTGATTTGAATTAAACTAGAGCAGTGGTCCCCAACCTTTTTGGCCCCAGGGACTGGTTTTTTCAGAAGATAATTTTTCCATGGATGGGAGTGTGAGGGGATGGTTTCGAGTTGATTCAAACACATAACATTTATTGTGCACTTTATTTTTCTATTATTATTACATTGGAATATATAATGAAATAAGTATACAACTCGCTGTAGGCTGGGCACCCCTGAACTAGAGAAAAGAAATGCCCCAAACCTCCATAGGTGAAAACAAAAATAAATAGTTGCAAAGTAATCACTGCTTTGTCCCAGTATACAGATACAGTCTTTGTCTTCCATTAGCTTCCTAATTGGAGAGAGAGAGAGAGAGAGAGAGTGTGTGTGTTAGGAGAGTACTATGATTTTATCTATTTACCGAAAGAGATACATACTAAAGATGTCCATTCAGGGGGAATAAAACCACATAATTTGGGTTTTATTAAAATGGTCTTTTTATTTCAAAATTAAAATGCTTTCCTTTTTCCAGGCTTTAAAACACCAGTAAGTTGTCAGCCCCTTTTAGGGTCAGACTCTCACCAAAACATTTCCTTTTATTTATTTTCCCTTTTACAGTTTCACTTATGCCATTACAGTCTTTACCAAGGACTGAGCTCTCCCAGAGCTGATGCCTGGCTTTTTAAATGATGGGATCCACATCCTGCCCGAGCAGCGGTTTGATGCCAGCGTTGAATTACTATTGAATAAGCAGCAATGAAATCTTTATCAAAATAATCAGTAGTTCCAAAAACCACAAGTAACAACAACAGGAGCCGAGTTGTACTAAATCAGCAAAGACCATTGAGATATAATAAGAGACTGAGTCACTTTTTTCTACATTCCCTTCTCTTGCAAACTCTCCTGGGCTATTTTCTTGCAGGGCCTGGGGGAGGGCAGGTGGAGGGAAGGAAGGGCATTGCTCAGAAAGAAAAAAAAAAATTTGACATCACTGACGTCACGTGACCTGCAAGAGCCAATGGAGATGGGCTGTGGAAAGGGGAACAGTTAAATTTGTAATTTGGGTTGTGTGAAAACTTCTTTGGGCCTCATAAACAACCACAGAACCACAAGTTGGGTAGCCTGGCAGTGTCAGAAGTCTGAGCCTGGCATAGTGGTCAGCAGGCAGGACGAATCACACTGAATGCAAACCACAGGGTTTCGCAGAGTGGTAAGCATCAGCAATCCTCTTCTTAGGTGCCGCTGCTTGTTTTTTATTTTTTTTTTTTTTTTTTTTTTTCCTTAATCTTTAACAATTTGAATATTTGTTTTCACTAAGGTACATTTTTTTTCCTAGGGCTTGGGTAGTCCCAGAGCTGTCCAGGGGGAAAAAGAGAGAGATGCAGGGCTGTGGGGGTGAAGCAAAAAACAGTGACCTTTCTTGGTTTTCGCTCCTAAGGTAAAAGAAATCATTGAGTCCCCCGCCTTCAGAAGAGGGTGCCTTTTCGGGAGGAAGCGATGGCTTCAGACAGCATATTTGAGTCATTTCCTTCGTACCCACAGTGCTTCATGAGAGGTGAGTACGCGCTGGTCTTTTAATGTCTCCTTTTGCTCAGCTTTGCATGCAATGAAATGGCAGCCTGGTCCCCCCCGGGTGCAGAGGTGCCCCGGTGCCTGCCGGCCCCCGTCTGCTCTGGGGGAGGAATTCACACTGAGGCGTATGATTACAAGGCGATTGGATTACTTATTCATCAGATGGCAGCTCTTCAGAAATGTTTTCATAAATACTCAGTTAAGCTGTTGGTGTGTTCGGTCGGTGCGTGAGAACCTTGTCAAGTCTTAGTAAGTTGTGCCGGTCTCGTTTAAAGACCTAGGGATCGTGAAGCTTGCACGAAGCTCCCTGGGTTTTATTTTGCAGCCCAGAGCGACTGTGTCTGAGTTGTCCTTAACTAAGCACGCTGTGTGGCCCAGAATGCAGCCTGCCCGGGGGCTCCGCAGACACATGCAGGGAGCCAGGAGGGCTGGTGCCAGCCAGCGTGGGGCAGGAGGCGGGGGCTCACGGCTACGCCTTCCACCGGCCGGGGACCTCAGGGCCAAAGTGGCCACCCAGCTCAGCGGTCTCCGAAAGGCAGAGCCTCCAGGAGCTGGGCAGACTTGGTTACTTTAAAATCATCAGGATGGGGCCGTGCTGTGTTTCTCCTTGTAGCCTCAAAGCAGAGAGGCGACTGGCATCTTTCAAGAGAGAAAAGCAAGCAAGTTGCAGCACACAGAGGGCCTTCTTGAAAAGAGTGATGAAGTTTCCTAAGTCGAGCATTCCCACGGCTTAAGTCATTAGATTGCACGCTTAGGATGGGAACGGCTAAGGTGGAAAACCTGTCTGCATTTTTGCAACCAGCGTCTTGAAATGTGCACAGCTGTGGTTGAGCCGTGAGCGTGTGAGTATGTGTGTGTGCATGTGTGTGTGCATGTGTGTTTTGTGTATCTTTAGTGGTAAAAGAGGGCTGTGCCTAAACAAACAAAAATAATAACATAAAAATGTCACAAAGGCATCGCAGTGTGTCAGGGTACGCACTTTGACCAATGCCCGCAAAGTGTGGCTTGCCGGCTTGGCAGAGCCGGGATGCAGGGCGATGCGATGGGGGAATAATTAATTTTCTGGCTACAAACGCTCTCCAGCACCCAAATAGTATCTGTGACTCATTATTTATTCCTACAGCCAAGTGAGCAGGGGAATGCAGAGGGCTTGCCAGCCACTTTGTCGCAACAAATGCTATTGTGAATGCACAGAGCTTCTGTGTTTCCGGGTCCCCAAAATTTAAAAATTTGACAAAGGTGTGTGTGTGCGCGCGTTCGGGGTCTCAAGGGAGGATTTAGGGAGAAGAGGAAGAAAGCGAGTCATTAACACCCATGCCCAGCTTTAAATTAAAGCGTTTTCAAGTGCTTCTTTCCTGGCAGCCGAGGGAATTTCAGTGAAGTTGAATCACGCGGACACGAGTGAGTCACTCAGCTCGCAGCGTCCTTGGGCTGGTGCAGCAGAGACACTGGCCGCTGGCGAGTGGCTGCAGACACTCCCCGCCTGCCTTTCCTCCCGGCTGCTAACAAGCAGAGGAAGCAGTATCTGTAGAATAACAGAAAAAAAAAATATCTTCCTGCCTTTACTCTGCTTTCAAATACCCGCTCCGAATGTTGATTATTTCCTATTTTATCAACTCAGGAAGGCAGATTCAGGAAATTTTTAAACATCCCACCGGCAGTAGCTTGGGTTTCAGCGTGCAGTGCTGGCCTTTGGAGCTGTCCTTACTGGCCAACAGCAAAGACAGTGAGGGGACAGGGTGACATGTGCAGACATCAGGAAGTAGAAGGAGCCCAGCCCCCAGCAGAGCCCCCTGGCTGCAGCCGACCTGCCCCCTGTTAGGAAGAAGCATTAGTTGGCTTTCACGGGGGCGGCCGGGGCTGCAGAGAGGGCCCTAGTTTGCAACGAGACTCAGAAGAGCTCATCTGAAAAGGTTTTTCCACCCCTTCCCCTCAGTCAAAGGCACTCAGAGCCTTCTGGGACCTCAAACTGGACAGTAATAATATTGATATTTAATTTCAGAGGGCCACGTGACATTTGGCAATTTCCTGGTAGATGTCATCTAAATGATCCGTCCACATACAGGTTTCAATTGTCCAGATTAGCTGTCCACGCCCTTCGCCCAAGCCAGGGAGGTGGCAACATTTCCTTTCTCTTGGTACCGTTTGGACATTGCCTTAGAGCCCGATGCTAGAAGAATCACCATCCTCACCAGCAAATTGTCCCCACAGCCAGGCCACTGCAGTGGTCACTGTGGTCACCTCTCACGACCTATAACTTATAGCATGTGTTCCCTCCCCAACTGGAACTGTGGGCTGGAGGGGAAGACACCATCTTGTTTTCTTCCTGGGATGGGGCTTTATCGGTGCAGGCAATGCTCACAGAAGGAAGCCCGTAGTAACTCGGCGTTAGCCAGATACTCGTGTGCAAGTTGGAGGAGAAGAGGGGAGTGGAACCAAGAAAACCATTGTTCCCTTCCTGGTGAGTGGCAAGCCGGAGTCTGAGAGGCTGGTACTCGAAATGAATGTGGTCTACCACAGAGAACGCAGCCCTTTTTCTACCATACCACACCAGGTTCGTGTTTCATTTGCTCAGGGAGAAAAAAGGAAAGATAACGATTGAAATTCCCTGGAATGATCGCACGTGGTTTGCAACATAAAATTCTTGCCAAACCCAAACCGTGGTCCCCTTCAGAAGGTGCAAGGCGTTGGCAACAAGAACTGAGGCAAGCGTGGGGAGGAAAAACCTCCGCACGAACGTCTTTTTGCAAAATGCCTCAGGTAGCCTCGTTCTTAGAAGTGGCTTAGTGGTCTATGCAAAGCCTGAGCACTCACATGCCTCTGCGTTCCTAGAACCACAGGTAAAAATCTCAGCAGGGCTGACTCCTTGCTTGTCTTCTCTGAGGTTCGAGATGGCCCCGGCAGATGGAGTCTTTCAAAGGGAACCGGGGAACACGAGGCCGCACGTCTGAAATGGGCTTTTCTGTAAGCGCCGGCTCGCCAGTCTTTTCAGAAAAATATTTATTAAGACACTTCTGGCTTGACGGGAGACTTAAGATCACAGAAAGTTGAATCATAGATTCAACTCTCTGTGGCATGAGTCAAGGTGTGAAAGCTGTATTATTTTTCTAGTGCTGCCATAACAAAGTACCACAGACGGGGTGGCTCAAACAGAAATGTATTTTCTCACCGTTCTGGAGGCTGGATGTCTGAGATCAAGGTGCCAGCTCGACGGGTTTCTGGGGAGGCCTCTCTCCTTGGCATGTGGACAGCCACCTTCCCCCTGTGTCCCCCGATGGCCTGCCCTTTGCGCCTGTGTCCTAACCCCCTCTTCTTATAAGGACACCAGTCAGATGGCATTAGGGTCTACCCTGATGACCTCATTTTATTGTAATCGCCTCATTAAAAAACCTATGTCCAGACACAGTCACATATGAGTCTGGGTGGGGGTGAGGGACACATTTCAGCCCCTTACAGTGTGCCTTAGCAAATCTGACTTACCCGGGCCCACCAAGAAAACTGTGGGACAAGGCATCTCTCCTGGAAGTTGAAGAATCAGACCATAGTTCCTCCTTTGTGAGACTGAGTTTCACATCTGAAACTGTCCACGCATTTTGAAACTATGAAAAAAAAAGGTGTTAAAAACTATTTAAATCTATAATCATGCCTTTGCCATTTAGTCTCCTTGCGTGCTAAGAGGATTTTGAAAAATGACAAAGTCATTTTGAAATGTTTAAGTTTTAAAAGAGCCAAAAGCAGTTCCCCAAAGAAACCACGTCCTTGGCTCTGCCTCCAGGGGCAGGATTGTCCCCGTATTTCAGACTAGATTTACCCAGGGGGTCAATTTACTGGCTTTGCCAGTGGAGGTTGGGGGGGCCCGCAGGAGGCCCCCTGGCTGGTCACCCACCAAGCACGGGGACAAGGAGCAACCCGTAGCAGAAACACCTTCAGAAACAGCAGACAACCCAAGAAGCCTTTCAGAGCCTTTGGAAGCAAATGAGAATAGCAGGGAGGTTCCTCCGTTCTCTTGAAATGGGTCAGAAAGATGTGCTCAGAAAAGATGTGGCCCTTTACTGAGAAGGCGAGGCTGGCGGGGCACTGGGACCGAGGAGGCTGCAAGGCTGCTGCACTCGCGCAGCCTGTAAGAGAGAGCCCAGGGGCCCAAGGGTGCGAGCCCGGGGGTGTAGAAGAGCCCTCGGTGCTAGGAAAGGCAGTGGCAGGAGGTCTGAGTGTGGAGCATGCTCAGATGACACCGTGGTGGCCTTCTATTTCTTCTTCTGCTTTCTGGCTTTATCTAGCCAAATGGCATGGAGAGCTTCTCTCTTGACCGTCGGTTTCCTCACCTGCAAAGTAAGGACAGCAGTAGTCGCTATGGTTCAGGTAGCCGTGTGCACTGGATGGAATGATCTGTGCAAGGTGCTTGGCCCAGCCTTAAGGAGCAAACAGGAAATATTAACCGTGGCCACTGATAATTCAGTTCCCTACCACGGCAGTTGGTCAACCTCTGTCTGCTCTAGGAGGGGAGAGGTTGGGATGCTTTGGAGGACATCACAGGAGGCTCAGCAGGGAGGGTGACATGGGAGCCAGGGAGGAGGCCTGGGGGAGGGGAACAAAGAGAAGAGGGAAAGGTGTTCTGGGCCCAAGGGGCAGCCTGTGCAAAGGCCGAGCTACGGGGCCCCATAAGGGACATGCGAGGCAGGGAGTGAATCTGCCCACCTGATGGCTTTTCAGAGACAGGACAGCCCTCCTTTCCTCGTGAGCACCTGCAAACAGAAAAAGAGTGGCAGAAAAAGAGTGAGGAGCTTAACAGGTGGAACTTATTGGCGAACTGGGGCTGCCACACACGCGGAGTGTCAGGTCTGGACACACGGGGACAGCAGAGATGTCCCTCCTCGCTGAGAACTACTGCTGTAGCTTTATTTTCTCAAAGGTTCTTCTTGAAGAAAAAGCCATTTTGTCTGAGTTTTCTGGGGTGCCGGGACACTGCCGATTCCCTCACTTCCT